ACACTCACATCTGCAGTACTTGAGCACTTCACAGAGGCAGTGCTCCTAGAAGTCAACTGGTCTGATCATTTACAACTCTTAAAAATTACTACTGTCTATAAATTTAGCTGCTTTTAATACACTGGTTTAATTTGTCCCTAGAAACTTGGAGAGTGCTACCCACACACTTGCTGCCAGGGGGTAGTTTCTGAGAGCACTTCACAGTATGCAGAACCATTTTCTGGACACATCCCTATGACTGCCTGTTGAAGGGTGGAAATGCCAACTTTCCCTTTCTTGGACATCTCAACTATTTGGCTTAGACTTTCTGCATATGTCAACATGCACATGCTCTGAAAAAATGCAAGAAATATTCAATTGGAAACAGGATGAAATATTAGGTTTTATTTTACCACATTTTACTTGTAATACCACTGGGTGTAACTATTTTTTTTGTTTTCAGATCCCACTGTATCCTGATGTAGTTGGTGATGGTGATTCCTAAGCAAAATCACCATTGGAGAACAAAGAAATAGCCTGTTACCCTGCTACTGATATTTTTATCATAACACTTATAAATAAAACAAAGCAAATAAAGTGAAAATTAAATTTGCTCTGATAATCCTATTTCCCAAACTTTAAAGTGCACTGGAGTCTCTGAAAACACCAGGCAATCCATCACACGATGTAGCACTGTGTCACCACAAGTCACTGGCAAGGTTGGAGGCTCACAGCCCTGATTTCTAAGCCTTAGAAACTGGGAAAGAAATGAAAGTCATTACAGGAATCATTTATCATTATAATCCTTCAGCACATACTTTCTTTCTCAGAATATGACACTGTAGACTAGAATATATTGTTATTGAGAATAAAATGGAATGAAAAAAAGAAAATCTTTCTGGTTAGATTTAACTTCTTCTCTCCCTGACATTTTCTTTGAATTTTTTTTAAATATGTAAATATCAGTATCAATTCACCTAAAAGACTGTAAATAAGGTTGCTGTAAGGACAGCTGCCATATTTTTAATAGAGATCTGTTTCATCACATTAGTGAAAACATGATCTATTAAAGAAAAGCAGAGAGAAAGACAAATCATCTCCTTTCCTCTGATGGAATTTTAAATACAAATACTTTGCATTTTGCTTTTGTTGTCTCACACTGAGAGAGCTGAGTTTTGACTCAGGAGCTTTGCTAAGAATTTCTCTTTGTCTGATTATCACTTAACTCAGTTGACATTTCAGGTTTGATCTGGATATATTTCAAAGTACATTTACTAAAGAAGAATATTAAACTAATTCTAGCTTGAGGCTGAAAAATCTAATGATCTTTTTCAAACATTCTTTTTATATAAAATCATTAGGAACAGCTGTATTTTTAAGAAAAAACTGTTTTTGTTCCTTTCCTCAAGAATGGATTGTTGATACCAGGAAGATATTAATATAGTAAAATTTCCATCAGAAAATATTTTGCAATAAGTACTACAGGTCACCATCAGTTCTTTCAAAAAAGGTAACAGTTAACTTTCAAAAATGAAGCATTAAATGCAGAAAGGTTTCCTGCATGGCCTTCATGTTCAACCAAGAGTTAAAGCTCTACTTCCTTGATACATAGAACTTTGGGGTTAGGGTATTGCTTTCCTCTAAAAGAGAAGCAACAGGAAGGAAACATTTTGGATGGCCCTAGAAACTAAGGACCACCAGGCAATGCTCCATTTTCCATCCTGTTAGGAAGTGGCAGGTACTCACCAGTGCCTTATCATTTGTCTGCAGCACAAACTCATTCACACATAGTTTGTGTTTCTTCAGCCTGCTTTTGCCAAACTCAGTGCAGCAGACTATATGCTTGAAAAGTGAAATATAAGCTACCCTACTCCTGCTTCTCCCTATCCAGCGGAATCTTCTTCTCAAGGAGAAATGAAAGTAAGCAACCATCACTTGAGAGAAGCTTGATGCCTCACTTAATGAGACTGGAGAAGCAGGCCACACTGAGGTAGGGCAGCACTTTTCTGGGGTAAACATCCTTGTTCTAGTTTCTGGAGATAAGCAAACACAGGGCAGCACAAGTGCAGGAATGAGGTCTAGAAGCAGGAATGGGCTGCCTACAAAAGGCTGACCCAGTAGAGGTGGATCAAGACTACCAAAGACCCCCAACACCCTCCAACCCATTTCTAGAAGGATCTAGAAGAATGAACTGCATGTGACAGCGAATGTACATAGATGAGACACTTAGCTCCAGAATGGGCAAAAATTATCAATAAAAATATACGCCCACAAAATCCAGGCACACAAGATCCAGAACCCTGGACACCCCATCAACAGGATTGATGCTGGAGCCAGGAGGTAATCTTTCATTTTTTCCTTCTTTCTCCCTCTCTTTAATCTCTTCCTCCTCTTTCACCCTACTCCTTACTCAAAATCCACTGTAGTGTGTTTATGCCATAAATTCCCATTTCCATGACATGTATAATTTACTAATAAAACTTTACAAGTTTTTGCAGACTCTGACTTTTGTTGCTCCTTTTCGACCACAGGCATCTGTGAATCTTGGGTACTGCCTTCCCCTTAAGGGTGGGACACCACATGCATGCTGTCCTCCAAGTCCAGCTTCATTAACATCCACCTTCTTTATCCCTTTCATTAACCACTTCTCTCTTTTTATTCTGTGCATTGTAAAGTAGTTTGTCCTGGTTTCAGCTGGGAAACAGTTCTTAGTAACACACTGATATTTCAGTTTTTCCTAACTAGTGCTTACTCTAAATCAAGGACTTTTCAGTTTCCCTCACTTTGCCAGGGAGCAGGTATATTTATATAATATATACAATATATACTCCCAGCAAGAAGCTGGGAGTGAGCATGGTCAGGAGAGCTGACCTGAACCAGCTAAAGATACGAGCCATATCATGGAAGACCATAATCAGTATATGAACTGGGACGAGTCGGTCAGGAGGAGCTGATTACCCACAAGTTTCAATTTTTTTTTATTCTGCTCCACAATGTGGGGTGGGGAAGGGGAAGGAGGGTGCAACTGTGAGGTACTTACTTGCTGTCTGGGGTTAAACCACAATAATCTCTATTTTCAGGAATTCATACAAAAGCAAAAGATTTAATGCTGCCACTCTATTTTTGAGTGCTTTCAGAATTCAAAGAACAGTGAATTGAAAACATTAGGCTTAAAATGTTGGGATGAGGATGCCTTAATGATAAGTACAGTCTCATTATGTATCCACACTAAATGTGTTAGATTTGCAGATGGGAAAAGCTATTAGCATGTTTCATGTCAAGTGCTATAGTGTAGCTTCAAAATAAAATTAAAGAAAAGTTTGGAAGGGATCTCCAAAAATCATCCACTCCAGCATATGGATTCAAAATCAGACTACTACCAAAGCAAGACCATGATTTCATATGGTTAACTCCTGAAAATTTCCCAGAGAGGATCGTCTACAAATCCCATGGTTGTTCCAGTGCTGCCCTATACTTCTAATGAAGGAGCTTTTCCTAGAATTCATTCTCAATTTCAGTGTGAGCAGCAGCAGTAAACAGTGAACATCATCACAAGTATGACCTGTAAACTCACACATTCCTGAGGAATATCTTTAGAAAAAAATAGGTTTTTTCTAAATAACAATCTCCATAGCCAAACCTATTTCTGGAAATGGTCTCTCACTCATAATTCTCAGGTTATACCTGGGTATCACTCAGGGAAGTATCAAACCAATAGTACACCACAGAAAAACCTTTCCACTTATCTGATTTCTAGAGAGTTTCATGCCTAGAACCATTTCCCAGAACTGCTTTAATTAATAAACATGGGCTGTCTCTCCATACTAACACTCTTTTTCTTGATGCCTCACCCAAAATTCAATCACTTGAATTGCCCTTTGTCACTTTGTGGCAGCAATTGATCCAACTGTTGCAGGGACTTTTTCCTCACCCCAAAACATTAAAACAGGCAATTGCTACTTGTTCATGAAAACCCTCTTTTACCACAACATTCAAGACCCTGCAGGAATCTGCTGCACTCCTCTTCTGAACCCCTGTGTGATAATGTATGGTATTGTTTCACATAACCGCCAATCAAAAATGCACTGATGACACCTCTCCAAGATAGTTCTTTTCCCACTGATACAACCAAAGCCTATCTCAAATGTTCCAGCAGTTGTAAGACTCTGTAAGACTAGCATTAACCTAAAGAAAAGGCAGCTTGTGCCTTATTGCATTTATGCTCAGTGAAAGGATTAGAAGGAAGGGCAAGACCAAGATTCAGTGCTTCCCACTTTCTTTTGTCCTGTTTAATGTCACATCAACAGTGCTAAAAATATGCTGCTATGTGCAGGCTCCAAGTTTATTCCCTCCTCCTCCTTCTGGGTGATTGCTTGCTGAAGTAATCCATGCCTCCACACAGTGGGGCAGGAATGCACCTCTAGGTAAGCAAGAGGAAACACTGATCTTCTGGCTGAAGCTCTGCCTTGGTCACTTTCCTATACCTGTACAGCAAGAAGCAATTGCCACCATGTTAGGATCTTACTGCTGTAGCAACTACAAAGCCTCGGTCCTGATCTACAAGGCTCTGGGTTATTTGAAAGTGGCTCTTCTGAAGCAACCCTTTTTGTCAAAGTTGCTGTAATTTAGGACAAAGTAGTACAAAATGCTCGAAGTGTGTCAGCTCACCCTCTTGAACTCAGCTACATGACAAAATCTCCCAGAGGGGGTCACACACACCCTCCACAGCAAGAACAAAAACCTTCAGCTTACATAAACAGGAACCAATCAAATATATACACATATAAAACCTTCTCTGACTCTATACTTTTGTGTTTATTTAATTTCGTATGTCATGAGATGAGTATGATACTCAAACTTCAGCACCGAATTATCAAACTGAGGAAAGGATTTGGGCAGACAATGTATTTTTAGGACTTTCTTTTGTGACTAGGTGTGTTCTTACAGGAGACAGAAGTAGAAAAGTCAAGGTGCAAAATAAACCAGTGAAGAAAGCAGACTTAAAAACTCACTTTACCTTTACTCTCTGACTTGAATGTAAGCTGGCAGTCTAGCAGCCTGTCCTTTGCCAGGGGAGAGAACAGGCAGAGAGGAGGAGGTGTGTGTGTTGGGCCTCTGTGTACGTGCCATCGGCTTCCTCACGGTGTGTAACCTGCCGAGACACCTGCGTGTTCTGCACTCCGGCTGTATCACTGTGCTTCTCCCCCTCGGAATCCCTGCCACCCTCACACACAGTGACCATCACCTCCTCTCTCCCAGAAGAAACATATGACCTTAGGAGTGCTGTTCCATGATCCCACACCACCGTCCTGGCTGGATGTGTACAAGGGTGGGCACCCTGAGCTCTGCACAGATACCTGACACCCAAGGAACCTACAGACCTGTGCTTCTCAGGGACTCCAGGTTCCTCCCTTGGAGCAGCAACCGTGCCCCCCCATCTCAACCTTTCCAGGCTCGTTTCCCCCTCAGGAGAAGCGGCTCAGGGGCTGCTGTGTCCCACAGCCTCGGCCCATCTCTGCGAGCAGACGCAGCTATTCTGTTGGTATTCAGCCACAGAGACTGCTGCTGTAACAAAGACGATCCCGTTCTCCAGGTGTTTGACTCCCTGTATCTGCACAAAGAAACACTCGCCCTTCCTGGGCTCCTCTTCCTTCCCTGTGGCGATCCAGGAGGAGGCCTTACCACCCCTTTCTGGCCACAGCCGCCGCCAGGCAGCCAGCAGGACCTGCCTGGTGCATGCCCAGAGGTGTCACAGCCCTGCCATGGGTCCTGCTCCTGGCAAAGAAGCGACAGCCAAAGCCCAGAAGGAGTGCTGCCATCTCTGACACCAGCCCTGACAGCACAAGAGCGAGGCTGACCTGGCAGAAGAGTTTCCGTGGGGACACGGCTGTGCCCAGCGCTTCCTGCCCTGCCCACTCCCACCAGCCCCCACCCAGCTCTCTTATCTCCTGCTTTCAAACCCTTCCCATCTCGTACTCGCTTCTCACCTGGTTTACACGTTGCTAAATCAACAACAAAACCTTCGAGCAGGACCTGCCATCACCTCATTAGTCACCATCCTCCATTCTGTCTGAGCTCCCTTAGGTGGCAAACTTCAGGAAGTAGGCAGCCTTCTTCAAGGAATGTCTGCTTCCCGCTTCCCATGGAGAAGGCCTGATATTGACAGGACTTTTGATGTTGCTACCAGAGTACAAAGATTAACCATTGTTTCACTTAGGTAGGCTTGATCCAAACTGCCTTACTCGGCACAAGCTATACCCATATACAGTTTGTGAAAAGCAAATGCTAATTCTTTGAATGAAGTCCTGCAACCCTGTCATTCAAAACCTAACCTTAGTGACATTTCAAGGAGTGCATGGCATCCTTTCTGGTTCATACATCCATTCGGTTGATTTCTTTTCTCTATAGAACTATTCTTTATTGCTACTCCATGTAAGAAGAAAGTACAGAAAAACCCTTATAATGCAAACTAAAGTACAAAGATTAAATGTTCCCCATTAAAAATACCAATGTAAACATTATTTTAAATGAAATAGTTTATGTCCTGTTTTTCATGGGGAGAGAGAGGTCAAATAAGAAAGAGACAAGTGTGAATTATAATAAGGCAATATGCATTAAGAGATGAGGACTTCAGAATGAAAATGCACTCTTTTGAGGTGAGCCATCATTTCAGTAGGGAAACTTTGGAATTACTGTGTCCTTCTGAGCTATCAAAGCTATGAAAGGAAAAGTATGTCCATCTACTTAGTCCAATCCATTTTATAGTGAGTCATTCTATTTTCCCTTCACAAAATGGCCCTCCATTATCTTCCATTCTCACAGTCAGCTCCACACAGAGACTCTCTTCTGGATTCTGGCTGACGAGGAGTCTTCCTCCAGGAAGCAAGGACAAGAATACTTTAACAATAAATTTCATAAATATTATGTGAAATAGCCTGAAGTGATAGAAAGTTTTATATTATTTATCTCATCCACAGTAAGGAGTGAATGTAAAGGTACAATACCACTTCATAAAAACTGCCTGTGGGGTTGTCTTCTCTGTTAGACTCTGAGCATGAACTTGTCTCTGATTGACATGCTACAATCAGAGTATTTTCAGGATGACATAGGCTTTGTTCTTTTGAAAACATAGAAAATATTTGTAACAAGTCACACAAATTCAATATTGGTCTTACACATACAAATTAATATAGGTCAGAACTACAATATTATAGAAATAACAGATGTGGTGAGACAGCTCACGTGGCTGTAGTGCTGCAAAAGACAGGCTCTTCAGAAAGGCAGGGAAAAGAAGACAATTTCTGCGTGAAGCAGCAGCTAAAATGTGGAGAATGTTTGTTGAACAACAGGGCTGGGTGAGTGCTTGTGGGTCAGGATCAGAGGAGAGATCAGTGAGGGTGACATCACAGTGGGACTGAGCTACAGGCAGCATGGAAGGGGTGAGGAAGTGGAGAGTGCTCCTCACAACCATTTCTTTAAACAACTCAAAGAAATACCTGGACTGCACACCCTGTTTGTTTGGTTTTTTTCACGAGACTTAAGCTTTTGTGACACCTGTAGAGAACAAAATGGCATGGCTCAAACTATGCAATTTCTGCAGGGCATCAAGGACTGCTTCTTGATGTGGGCACAGGATGGGCCAAGCAGTGTCATACACAGCTGGATCTGTTACTCATATACAGGGAAGAAGTGGCTGTGGATGCCATACTCAGTGGCAGGCTTGGCTGTAGTGACTAGCAAATAGTGAGGCCTAAGACCTTGTGGGGAACTGAGGAAGATAAATACCAAAACACACACCCTGTGCTTTAGGAAAACTGCCTTCAGCCTATGCAGGAGCTGGTAAGTGCAGTACTGTAGAAAGCAACTTGGAAACACAGGGAACTTGGGAAAGCCATCATGTCCTTGAAAACAACCTCTTACACATGCAAGACTCTTCATGACTCAGGAATACAAGCTTATGAGGTAAACTTGTACATGATTCAAGGAATACAAGACTTATCAGGACAACAGTGTGGCACAACAGAGTTTGCAACTGAGGTGAAGCAAAAAAAGGCAGCACAGGAGGTGAAAGCAGAATATGAAATGGTATATATTTGCTCTGCTGAAGTTAAATATGTGAACAGACATCAACAACAGCATACACAAATAGTATCTGTACAACAGATTGACACTGCTCCCGTGCAGTCGGTTGACCTGACCTGCGTGTAACAAAGACTAAAGGGCAGAATCAATAAAAATCCAGAGACACAAAACTAGGGAAAAATAATGTGGAGTAAAGGGAAATCAATCCAACAAACAGAAAGAAAGGCATTAAGATTAAATAGGCAGAGACAGTTTGACAGGGGACATAGAGGAGGCTGGGGCTCAGCTGGCAGGGGACAGGGAAAGAAAGGGCTGGGAGGACCAGCACGGATCCAAGGCAATCCTCTACTGTCAACAGAGTGCTGTGAAACCCCCTGAGCCAAGGCATTTCTATCCCCTTGATAAGCATCCACAAGAATGTGACCTGCCACTGCTATGGGACACTCTCAGCTCAACGTGTTGGGAGGATTTAGTTTTGAAACTACTGAACAGTGTGTGACCTGACATGGGTGTTAGCATGGCTCCCATCAGCGAGGGCCCTGTTTGCTCCAGTTTGCTATTCTTAAAATTAGTAAATGATGCACACAGAGAAGGTCATCAGCAGATCATTAGTGTTCCAAATGAAGCACTCTGCATTTTGGAAAAGCCTTACTTAAGGTTGGCTGCTCAATTCTTTTTGCATGAGGATATGGTCTGCAATTACATAACCAACTGGCTGACTACATTGCTATGTATTTTCTGTATGCATGAGGTTTCCTTTGAAACCTTCCCTGAAGAGCAACTGGATTTTATACTTGCTTTTAATTTTGAAAAGTTTTCCTTATATTTTACATATCAACCACAAATTGAAAATGAGGTCACTGTCTAAAGAATTAATTCACTAATTAATGAGAAAATGAACAATTAAAAAAATAACATTACCATTAGAACTTAATGCTGAAGCTTTAGCAATGCTCTTTCAGATATTACTCTTCAGATAAATACTGCTTTTTTAAAGAAAAAGTACAGCAAGACCAGGTCATAACTTTCAGTTTCAGTGCTTTCCTTATTTCCTACCCAATGCAGCTTGCCTTGGCAAAGTTGTATTGAAAATTGTTAACTAACACATGCTTGCCAAAACTAACTTAACTGAGGCTGGTAGAGGCCAATATTGTGATTAAACAGGAGTAAAAGTTGGCCCACTATGAAACCAAATTGATGCAACACCACCATTTAAGTGCTAAAAAATTCAGTGCTAATTTGCTTCTTAGCAAGAGTGATGACCACTTTTCTTCACAGCTTTGCAAAGCTGAGAATAAACTGCCCTTTTTGTGATATCAAGAAAAAAACTTCATTAATGCAAGGCAAATTATAAATTGCATTGCAAGCCTTATCTAAGTAGGAATAAGCTGTATTTTGACTGTTTTCACTTTCTCTTAACAAGTTGTTTTGGTCACACCTCTTTTCAGTAAGTTTCAGACTCATTCCAGTCACAATCAATTTCTCCTGCCATTTACTGATTTAAAGTTATGGAACATAATGTATGAAGATATAGTCCCTTAAGAAAAATACAAGAAAACCACTGATATTTGCTATCAGTTTGGGTTATGACAACAGAGCAAAGTTTAACCAGATTTCAGTTTTTGCATTTCACATGCACACAAAATACATTGACAAATTTCCATAATTTCCACAGAAATATGCTGTCATGATTAATTAAATATGCATGAATGAAGTTTTAATCTTCAAGGTCAGTGGTTAAAGGAAGCCAGAAAATATTCCTATAAAGTACAATGGATTATTTCCTTTTCCTGCTTATAATTACATTTTAAAAAAATTAAACATTTTTCAACATATCTTACCATTTGCTTTTCCTCTAAAGCTTCTCTTCCTGAGGCTTTGCTTTCATGTTTTCCTAACTCCATTTCCCAGGGGAATAAAAATCACCTAATATCCTGAGCAGAAGTGATTCAACCTGACTACATGTTAGATATCCCTGTACTTTTGGAGTCAGGAGAGAAAAGTATCAGGAGCGCTGTGGTGATTTCTGGTCAGCGTGTGTTTCCATTTATAGCCATTGAAAATCCACAAATAGAAGTGTGGAGAGAGGGCAGACAGCTGCCTCTGATAACAATAAACATTGGTTTGGTATCACAGCAAATTGTTCAGCATGGGTTTTGGTTACCAGTCCCATTCATTCTTGCCCTCCTCTATCCCAAAAGCTCATACTGAAATGTCCATGAAAATTAATAACTATGTCTCAGTAGCACTAACTTCAGTTCACAGAGATTATTAAGCAAGCAAAATAACAAATATAATTCACTGGTACCATATGTGCTATGTCAAGACAAAAGTGTACAGAAAAACACTTTAAAACAGTGCTTTACCATAACTATTGGTCTTTCCCTGTTGAGTGTTTGGGACTGAGCTAGCCCCATATTCCCTCAAGCAGAGAGTACTCTCCTAATCCTAATATCAGAACGACATCTTGCACTTTTGCAATGCAGGAAGAACTGCTAAACTTCCAGCAGGCACTGTGAAGAAGTGACCAGTGAACATCTAACTTGGAGCTGACAGCCATATGAGGGTGGTTGTGGAGTTTGTTTGTTGAAGAATAACCTGGCTCTGATTCACAGCGATAAAGTCAGAAGGCCAATATTAGAAACTGCAGGGCTGAGGAACCTCTCAGCAGCTCTGCTGGGGATGCCAAGGTTTACAACACACCCTTCTGTTGCTACATCAACTGGGCTCATGTTGTTAAAGGTGTGGTTCACACACAGGGCTGGCTCTGCATGTACCAGCAAGGGAAGGGGAAGCATGAAGACACAGGGTAACACAGAAAATGTTTGCTACTGTTAAACAAGAACGTGCTCTCTGGTAATCTGTGGTTCATTAGACATGCTGCAAAACTGGCTGTTTAAGCATCTCACTAAATCCCTAGTAAATACACATCCTTTCCACCTCTTCCTGTCAACATATTGGTAAAAGAAGACTCTCATGTAAAATAGATGAATAAGCAGATAGGATAAATGAATAAATAAATATTGAACCCTTTTTCATCTATCACTTTTCAACAGTCCTAACTAGGCATACTCCTTTCTGCGTGTTTCTTGATAGATGCTATACTCACATGGTCTTTAGAGCCTTGGATAGGAAGAAAAGGTAGCCAGTCATCTCCCAACAGTCTATATAACTTACATATGAAAAGCTGATAAAACTTTAGACTGTTCCTGTTCTGATACATCCTTCAGAATAAACAAAAAGTTACTTCAGTGACAACTGTTTTTCTTTAGTCTTTTTTTACCTGTGTTTTTAGAAGTGTAAAACAGCCATTAGAAGAGTAAACATGGTACGGCAAATGCAAAGGACCAGCCAAATCTGCAAGGGCTGTTGTAGTAGAGGGAATAAATATGAGCTTGATGTCATGAAGCAAAAATACACTCCACTGTGTCTCCTGGAAATGCCAGGACCAAGAAAAGCTGCAGGTCTCTACTCTTCAGTGGAAAGTCAAACAGTAATAAGTTCACATCTCCATAATCTTTTTTGCGAGGCTGAAACTTATCCCTGTGGCAAGGGACTTCATAATGGCTTTGCAGCACTTAAATACCTCAAAGGAGATCTTCAGTGGGCTCCAAACAGCGCTTGCACTATGCTGCTGTTTACATTACTGACCATTCCTGTGGTGCTCCTCCAGTCCCCTTAATCTGTCCATTTGCAATGGTTTTAGATGACAGACAAGGACAGGAGCATCTCAGAGCATCAATCACATTCAGCTCTGTGGCTCAGTGCCCTGCCAGCCCTATCCCTCTGGTAGCTGGCAGACCCTGGATGTCAGCAGGCTTCCAAACTTCAGCTCTAGGGGAATCACTTCCTCCTTGTGCTGGGGAACACATATGCATGTCGGTAACAGAGCAGGCTCTCAGTGGTGCAAGAAACCAGCAATGCAGGACTCAAGATGTATGCAAGCAAGCAAACAATGGCAGATTCTTATCTGGTGTTTATGCTGTGTGTAACCTAGCACTGATCCTAACTACCCCAAAACTTAATCTTCAATTATGTTTATTACTTGCAGGGCCTAATACTGTTTTCATGTGTCAGCTCACCCTTTGACATCAAAAACAATCACTACAGAAAGACAAAAGGAATTGATTATGTAGTAAACTGTACCAAATAATTTTAACATAAGATAGTGATGAGAGTAGGTAGTTTCACAAGTGGGTTTCCCATTAACATTCTTGTAACAGCATCTAACAGTATTCACTTGAGAATCTCCACTTCTCATGAATGGAAATTTATATTCTGGATGCATCATACTGCTGACCATGCAAGGCAGTTGGAGCAAACTTCACTGGAGATGGGAACATGAAAAAAAGGCTATGAATGCGAGAGAGTATAACACCAAGCTTCATGCCATCACACTAAAATCAAGGAGCCCAGGAAACACTGGATGCAGAGCTCTTCTGTAGCCTGAATGCTATTATATAAGGACCCAGGAGATGGCATAGAAAAGCTGACATCACCTTATTATCTACCACACCTTGCTCAGCTTGGCATTTCATCACTAAACCTGAGGAAAGACCATGATCCTAACCATCTGAGAATTTGGTTTTATATAATCATGAAAGTACATTTCTTATTCCTACAGAGAAATATTATTATAGAGAAGTTATTCTACTATGCTACTGCAAGAACTTTCCGAGACACTGTTAGTAACTGTATATTTCCTGTTTTACTTTGCAAAGGGAAACATAGCAAACAGGTGCTAAGTAAAAAGCGTGTTCTAGACATTGCCTAAATTGCTGTGCTATTTCCAATTGCTTCTTTTTATTACAGTTACTCATCTCTTGACACCTGTTTCTTTTCTCAGAGCAGGAGAAGAGAAAAAACACGAGGCCAAGAGAAGAAGCTGATGGAGGAGAGGGCTATGGACTTTCTTGTAAGATGCAAGTGCTGAATATCCCAAATAACAGTATTGTGTAAATAGAGCATTTAAACAGATGTGTTTTCTGTGCTTATTTGATCTCCTGTTCCTGGAGAAGAAAGCAAGTGACTACCAAATGAGACTATACTCAACTGAAAACCATCTACATAAGTCGCATTTACCAGTTAAAAACTCTAAAGCTAATACAGAAATTGCTCTCGCAGTGATTGTTAAAGCTCTAATGTGGAGAGCGTTTCTGTCCCACACTTCAATCAAAAAGCTGAAAGGAACAAGGACAAAACTCAGTATTCTGCCTCACTACTTGTAACTGCCAGTCCAGCAGATGAAACAAGCTGAGATTTCCAGGTCATTTCTGGTGCTCACCCTTCTCTCAGCCCCAGTGTGCCCTGCCAGCAAGCATTCCCTACGTTACCCCAGGTCACATGCACCCAAGGCCACATGCACACGCCCAGCAGCATTCCTAGCTGGCATTCCATGGCAGGATCCCTGCAGAAATGAAGAGCATGACAGAGCTACAGAGACAGCGTATGAAGCAGGCTTACCTTCCAGGCAGCCAGGAGCCAAGGGTGGGAAGCTGATCCTCAAGAGAGATGGGTCCACATTCCTGCTGCAGCACACAACAGCTGCTGCTGTCACTCCCTGGTCCACCCCGCTGGCTCTGCAAACACTCACAGAGCAGGAGATAGCAGGTGTGGAAAAAGGAAAACAGCACAGGCAACACAAGTCTCTGCTTTGCATGAGGAAGCAGAGTCCTTCGTGTACATGTCACGTACAGGGAGGAGATGGCTCCTTGACAAATATTCTCCAAAGGGAGAAGTTTGCTTGTTTGAGGCTGAAAACAAAGAAGGTTATTGCAATATTACGATAAATTGATTCCAAGAGCTCAGAGCCTTTTCTGACATGGCAGTCCATGGAAGCTGTATGTGTGTTCTTCTCTTGCCAGGTCTTTTAAGTCTATTGTTTTAAAGTGGACTATCCTTGTGCTGGCAAGGTCCTACATCTGTCCTCCAGCAGTACAGGTAGGAATGGAACAACAGACTTCTTTTCTGTCAGATATCCATTGTTACAGCTATATACATGATGTCCCTGATCATGTCCTGTCCTATATCCCAGCAAACCAAATTTTCCTGGGTTGTAAAATATACATCAATAGATTAGTTACACACCAAAAAAAGTCTTCCCTCCTACATGGATTGGTACTGTTTGCCATGCCTTCCTCCACAATGATGGATGTAACAATGAGATGGGGCTAATTAAATACATTAATAAAGCATTATATATTCTCATAGCTATCTTTTAAATGATGTGGCAGCTGAGAATGAGGAGAAGTCCATTCCTCACAAAAACCAAGTGACTGCTCCATAGCCAGGAAGTAGCTTTCTCTAGTCACCTCCCAGGTCAGCAGGAAATGAGGGTACAGGATATGAGCTGTCATTAACAGACCAACTCCTACTGAGTCTCTCCACCTTCCGTCTCTGCCCATTCTTATCAAGCAGCCAAACATCAAAAGAGACATTACCCAGTGCTGATAAGGACATCAGCATCTGACCTTTACCTCTGCCCCTCTTTCACAGAGCAGAGCAAAACATAATCATCTGCCACTGATTTTGTTTCTTCTTAATCAAAGTTTGAATAAGCATAGGCTTTGACTGATACATTTTGTAGAGCTCCGTGTCCATAGAGAGTGTTACCACTGTAAGTTTATACTCACAGCAAAATTCTCAAAAATGCAATATGAAATTTGCCTTGAAAATCAGAGAAAAAGAACAGATACAAATCTCAGTGTTTAAAAGTTATCTGAATGGTGACAGCATTTGATTAAAAGCTTGTCATTTTGATAGCAAATGTTTTGATTTCCAAGATCTAATGAAGAATCTAAAACACACGCTTGTGCATGGGAAGTAAAAAGGAAGAAAATACCAATTTCTCAACAGAACTCTTATTTTACTAGTTTTCAACTACAACTTTTTCTCCAATCTAGGGCTGATTTACAATAGCTGAGGGGGGGTTTTTGCAGTCTAGTAAGACACAATAAAGTAGTAGTAAATGGCACATTACCAGCTATAGTGCCAAAACATTTGTGGGTTCTGAGATTGATGTATTTGCAACATGCATTGATCAAACATTAAGTCATGGTGGAAGAACCCTGTATATTTTGGAGGAAGAGATGGGAAACAAATATTTTAAATATAATTTCATTTATCAATATCATTTAAGCCTATGCTTTACGCACATTAATAATGTCTTTAATATTGCAGTCACAGCAGATTCTAAGATAATGTTTATTTTGCAAATGAATTAAGTTAGCTTAATATTCCTATTGCTGTTGTCAATTAAAATGCAGATGCACAAGATAATAAAAAAACAAAGTGGATGCCATTAACCTGATAGCATAGTGTTAGTGCAAATCCATCTTTTCAAAGTAAAATATCCCTTTTGTTAGTAGGATATTGTTCTCTTTGTGACAGCCATACCCTCCTGGGAACTTTCTAATTCTGTTAAAGCCAGCTACCAGCATTCATTGAAGTTATATATGAATAATCACCTGAGAAATCTTTCTCAAGAATGTGAATAAAAGATGAGGATTTACCAGGTTACTGGATTGTGCTATATTATATTTACAGGAAAATACACTGTATAAGCATCATAAAAAACATCATTGCACACTTAATGTACATGAAAAGAAAGTCATGGCATTCAAATCTGGCAGGGCCAGACCCCACCTCTGATTTAAGGCAGCACCGTGGAACCCCAAATAAAGAACAGTCCCAAATGGTTCTTCTTAAACAGCTTAAAATGCATTAGAAACCTGAATAGCAGTGAAGAGAATTAAAGGATTGAAAACTGGTGTACAGGACAATTTGTTCTTAAATGCTTACCTCACTCTCTCACACACACACACACACACACACACACACACGTATATATATATATGTGAAATACAGGCATACTGCAGTAAGGCAAAGTGTTCTGCTTATATACAAGTCAGGAAAAAAAATAAGTTTCAGACAGTTCCTCATGCATAAGAAATTGCTTTTCGCTTCACTGTCAGGTACATAGTTGCATAAAGTGCCTCCTGCATATGTTGTAATAAAATACAACTTACAGGTCTTGTTCAAATCTGATATACATTCACATTACTGATATAACTGGAGAAATTGTTCTTTATTACAATAGAATGAGATACAGAATTCCAACACAGATAACATTTCTCAATGGGTAAAAAAACCTAGCACTATTTAAAGACAGTATTTCTTTTAGTTCTCATAAAAAATTACATTAAAATGGACAAATCAAAGGAACCTGGGGGAGATAGAAGGATGAGCTGTATAGACAAAACATGGACACAAGATTTTAAAAATCCCACCCAACTATACAATTGTTTTCAGTGTATTTCCAGATGGGTAAACTACCTCCTGAAAAAAAATCACCTGCTTTTTTCTCCATTACATTTAGGTGCTGCAGGATACCTTTCCAAGTGGCTACTGAAACATGTGTTGACATTCATATAACTTGACCCCATGCATTTACTTTCAGGTTCACAAGTTCTTGCCAAAGGAAAGTTCAAGGCAAAGAAATACAAACAGGGTTCTTCTCACAAATCCATCCTCCATGTAATGGTTTTCACTATAAATAAGGCATAGCGGTTCAAGTACTACATTAAATGTAATCAAACAATGGGAAAGAAAACGACCCATGAACTCCTGCCAGAAAAGTACTTTATTAGGGAGAATAAAAAGCACTGCTCAGACAGTCTGAATAGGCATGGCCTTCTGCGCTGTCAGGCTCCTCGGGCTCAAAGTCATCAGGGTCTGGGGGCAACTGGTCGGCATCTTCATCAGAAGTGGAAGGGCGTGTGAGGATTATCCGAGGTATCTTCAGCAAGATGTGAAAGATTTCAGAGAAAAGAATCATATCAAGAGAAGCAAAGTGATTAACGGGAATATTTCAAAAGGACAGGGGAAACAGGTGATGAGAAAAAATATGTGAGAGGTGTAACACCATAGAGAATCATAGAATTGTTTAGGTTGGAAAAGACCTTTAACATCATCAGCTACTAACCCAGCACTGCCAAGTCCACCACTAAACCATGTCCCTAAGTACCACAACTACATGTCTTTTAAATACCTCCAGGGATGGTGACTCAGCCACTTCCTTGGCAATGTGCTCCAATGCTTGAACATCCTTTCTGTAAAGACTTTTTTCCTAATATCCAATATAAACCTACCCTGGCACAACTTCAGACCATTTCCTCTTGCCCTGTCACTTATTATATGGCAGAAAAGACCAACCCCCACCTTTTTACAATCTCCTTTCAGGCAGCTGTAGACAGCAATGAGGTCTCCTCTGAGTCTCTTCTTCTCCAGGCTGAACACCCCCAGCTCCCTCAGCTGCTCCTCACAGGACTCGTGCCCCAGACCCTTCCCCAGCTCTGTTGCCCTTCCCTGGACTCACTCCAGCCCCTCAGTGTCTCTCACAGTGAGGGGCCCAGAGCTGGACACAGCACTCCAGGTGTGGCCTCAGCAGTGCCCAGTACAGGGGGACAATCCCTGCCCTGCTCCTGCTGGCCACACTACTGCTGACACAGGCCAGGATGCCACTGCCCTCCTGGCCATCTGGGCACACGCTGGCTCATGTTCAGCCAGCTGAGGTCCAGCTTTTCCACTGGGCAGCTTTCCAGCCACTCTGCCCCCATCTGTAGCTCTGCATGGGGTTGTTGTGACCGAAGGGCAGAACTTGGCCTCGCTGAACCTCACACAACTGGCCTTGGACCATCAATCCAGCCTCCCAAATCCCTCTGCTGAGCCCTCCTACCCTCCAGCAGATCAACACTCACACCCAGCCTGGTGTCATCAGCAAACCCATTAGGATGGACTGAGTCTGCTCACTCAGATCATTGATAAAGATATTAAAGAGGACTGGTCCCAGTACTGAGTCCTTGGAAACACCACTAGTGACCAGCCACCAGCTGAAGGTAGCACCATTAACCACCACCCTCTGGGCCTGGCCATCCAGTCAGTTTTTCATCCAGCAACAGTGTCCCTGTCCAAGCCATGAGAAGCCAGGTTCTCCAGGAGAATACTCTGGGAAATTAAGTCAAAGGCTTTACAAAATTCTGGGTAGATAACATCTAAGTGGGTCACTTTGTTACAGATTAGGTCAGTCAAAATGAAGTTTCCTGGATCCTCCTTCCAGCCCCTCTTCTAGATGGGAATCACATTTGCCAGCTTCCAGTCAACTGTGACCTTCCCAGCCAGCCAGGACTGCCAAAAGATGGTGAAAGGGGCTTGGTGAGCAGTTCACCAGCTCTCCCAGTACCCTTGGGTGGATTCCACCTGGCCCCAGGGACGTGTGCGTGCCTAAATTGTGCAGCAGGTGTTGAGCATTTCCCCTTGGATTATGGGGGCTCCATTCTACTTCCTATCCTTGTGTTACTGTTTAGGGGACTGGCACCCAGAGAACAACTGGTCTTTCTGTTAAAGACTGAGGCAAAGAAGGCATTAAGTACCTCAGACTTCCTTATCTTTTGTCTCTATGTTTCTTATCACATCCAATAAAGAATGATTTCCCTTGGCCCTCCTTTCATTTTTTGTTTTATGACAAAAAGCCATTGATAAAGCAAAATTAGGATAAATTACCCTTTCCTCTCATTAACTAATCTTTTTAAAAACCCTCTATAGGTAAAAAAAAAAAAAAAGAAAATATTTTTAAAAAATAAACACAAGTAAATATGAAAAATCAATTTAAGTTCATTATTCATTTAGTTGATCCCCCCAAAAGCAGTAAAGGATTAATTAAGAACCATATATCATATCAATATTGATCTTTGAAAATTTGCATATTTGGCTTCTTTACTGACAAAATATGTTTAAGGTAAACATTAAAAGAAAATATCAATAGAATATGCATATATGGAATTGATTAATTTTTTTTTTTTTACAAGAACTTTGTGTTCTTTGAGAACTATATTGCAATGTTTTAAAATTAATTTAAATGCTGTAACTCAGGAATAAAAAAGTGTCAGGCTCTTTATGTAGTCAAATAATGTATGACTAATTGTTTTTATCAATGAATGGATTATTACAAATTTCACTCTGATGCACAAAATCATCCTCCTTTTTACTGCTTTCCAAAAAAGGTTTAACATGTAATGAAAACATACAAAGGTGAGTCAATATATGTAACAAACAGGTAACATGATAATGTGTAATAAATAAAGTGGCTATCTTACAAGCACTGTGAAAATTTTCAGGAAAGTTAGTATTTCTTATTTATCAGCTACTTCTGCTTAATAAGAACATTTAATGTTGACACCACACAACTCAATTGTGTATATTATATTGTATTAATAATATATTATTTCCTCACTGTACATTATCTGATTTAGGAAACGACACAAGCATATATATGCTTTGTGGCTACTGCCATTTCAGCCAAGAGATTTCTGCATTGAAGTAAAATGAATTATTCCCCAGGCTCCCCTGATATTAGTTCTGACTCCCCCCAGCTCACAGCACACTACACATAGACACCAAAGCTCAGGTGTCAGTCCAGAGCTGAATCTCACCCCTGGTAGATGTAAACTAATTTCATGTGAAATTTAGTGTATATTTTTGTATACTCAGTTCCCAATCATATACCTTTTTCCCCCTTCTTTTTCTTCTGCTTAAACTAAGAACACATTTCTGGATAGCTTCAAATAACCTATATAGATCCTAAGCACTGGCCAAGCTACAACTCCTGGGATGATTTGTTTTTGTCATGCACACGTGACATCATTTATAAGCTTTCCTTGTACTGGATGGTTCGGCTCTTTGCTGAAAGATGCTTTTGCTTAACAGCCAGCAGACAGCTGCTTTGCAGCACAGCAAATGCACATTTGTACATACAGGTGGTTTACTGGGTCACATAATGAAATTCTGACATCTCCAGAATTACTGCAGAGGTCTATGCCCTGTTACCTACAGTCATATCCAGGACCAGGCTTTGCATTTCATTGAGCTGTCAGTTGAAAGCTCAGGGAATACCTTTCTTTGTGCACTGTGCTGTTCAAAAACAGACATGTGCACACTGCCCCATGACTGACATGTATTTCATTAGCAACGCAGAGTCACCAGTACCTATTGGTCCTTTTGAAGAAAAGACCTTTTTCAGCATGGTTCCTACTCCTCGGTTTCCAAAGAACCAAAACTAATTCTCTAAAATATTTTCTTCAAATATTTCATGACTGCTTGCATACTATGTTTCAAATATTATGATGAACCAGGTCTAAAAATTATGAAGTAAACTTAATAGATGAAAAGTGCTCTTTTGACATTTTTTTGGTAATTGTACTAACTGCTCCACAAAATACTTGGTGTTGGGCAAGTCTTACATCTAATCTTCCATATTGCTGCAGGTAAAGAGGAACCAGCACTAAATGAACAACCAATCTTCTACGGAAGAGGCTGAACGGTGCCTCAGCCCAGAAGTGCTGCAAAGGCTGGAAACCTACACTCCCAAAAGAAGAGTGGGCTCAGGTCTGATCAGAGCAGCCCCTCTGTACCCTCTCCAGGCAGGTGAAAGCTCACACATACACTGACTCACGCTGATTTGGAGACATACTGCTGAGTCCTTCTAACAAATCAAATGTCCTGGTCCAAGTGCAGCTGTGTTCTCCATCCCTCTGCTTTCAGCACATCTCCCTCTGAAACCCCATGTGAACTCATGCCACTGCTGTCCCTAAACCATCACTGCTCCTTCCCCTGCAGCCAGTCAGCCTCCTCTGTGCCTCTCTCCCTGACAGGATGCTGAGGAGCCTATTTCCTCAAATCTGAATCATAGGTACCAATGAAAAAACAACTCTCAGTTGAGGATTGTGCCAATTATGCAATTGCAAATGTATCTAAGTAATAGAGCACATATTTGTACAAGGTCATGGAAAGAGGCTCAGGCCTCTAGTCTCCCTCTTCTTGCAGCAAAAGTTATCAGTTAAGCTCCTCTATAAACCAAAACCAACACAAAATGGATGTAAGAGACACACATCACATTTCTAACCACCTAACCATCTTCACCTAACCACCCCCTAAGAACCCAGCACTCTCTATCACTGCCTTCACATTCACCCAAATTCCAGGAACATCACAATATAAGTTGTATCAGCTTCCTTTACTCTTTCAGTTTTGTTTAAAAACAAAACAAAATAAACAAACCAAACAACAACAACAAAACCAAAACAAAACAAAAACACAAACAAAAGAAAGTAACAAAACTCAGCAACTCTAAATTTGCATTTTATTTTGTTACATTCTTTCCTCAAACCCAGTACTTCTCTTCCCAGAATCCTGGGGGGATTTTACCTTTGCTTTCATATTTCCCTGATTATCCTCACTGACCTCAGCCTTACCCTATTAAATAGGCAACCTTTGCTCTTGGAGCTTGTCTTTACAATTTGTATTTCAATGTACATTTCCTGGTGCAGCATGATCAAGAGAAGATAGGAGAACAGACTTCCTATGTGAAAAAATGGCACAGCAAAGAGAAAGCAAACTACTTCCACTGCCCAATACAGACAGGGAAAGTCAGTGACATTTAGGATGGCAATAAGGAAAACCCTTCCAGTACAGGCACCTGAGTTGCTTGTCTAAGGTAAGTGGGAAGGTGTGAAACTTCCACCTTCTGTAGATAATTCCGAAAAAAAAAAAAATTATGCCTGTGTAGGAGGACAAATGATCTAGATTTTCTATTATGCCATTGTTTTCTCCACTGGTTGTTACTCAGCACTGTTTCAACATGTCTAAAATACTTATGTTGAAATTGCCAAGTCCTCCTACTCACTTTCTATCGTCATGCTTTAAATATCATTATTTAAGCAATAGTGGAACTACTATTCAATC